ATATATAAGAAGAAGCAATCCAAGAATAAGTAATCCAAGAATTACTTCTTGGTTGGTACGCGGAGTTAACATAGTTGTTGCTAGCCAAGGGTTGCATGTTTGAATCCATTGGTTTCTCAGAAGAAAGGCCTGTTGATCTACCACAAAAGAATCAGCCTTTGAAAATCCTTTGGAGACCATTTCCATTCCAACACACATGGAATCACTGTAAGTCAGGATCAACTTGATTGAAAATATTATTATTATTACTATTATTTGTTGTTTGTTATGAAATAGATATAGATTATGTTGATATGGTTGGTTTTTAAAGGAATAATAGAGATAATGTAATGTTGTTGGATGATTAAAATAACATTATTGGGATGTTTTTCAGTCTTAGTTCTTATTTTAAGGCTATTAGGAAAAATAATCTGCTTTCTAGAAGTAGAATGGTATTCATATTTTCAAAATTATCTTATTTTCTACCAATTTTACATAAAATATTGAAATCATTTGAAACGTTCCTTACTTTTGAAGCCTTACATCATGTATTCACTCTGCACTAAAACTGGCTCTCCTATTCTGTTCAACTCTTATTCTTCAAATTTTCTGGTTACTTATCTATATAAACAGATATGACCCTCCCTGCAGTAGAGTGTTCCTGCTTCCATTCCTCTAAACTCTCTCAAAATCTCTCTTAATTTTTTCATTATCATCTTCAGTGTTCCAACTTTCATTCATTTCACCTGCTGAAAAACAAATGTCTAAACATTGTGATATGATATCCTACAGTATCCAATATTTTTTCTTTCTTTCTTTCATGTTAAATTACTGATTTGTGTTCCTTTCCTTTTGTCCTCAACCCTTTCCACAAAAATCTCTAAAAATCTTCTTTCATTACTATATCATCAATCACATTGATGGTTGTTGCCACTATATTCTTTTCCCAGAATAATTGGTGTTTATTCTATCTTTTATTTAGTTTACTTATCAATGAACATATTAACCAGCTTTCCTTTTGACATATAGTGATACCTGTATTTTCCAGAATACCTCTCTCACTTTTTTTTTTTTTGCAACATTTCTTATTGTTCTTTGACAATGAGAATAACAATGAGAATAGTAGCAATAACTGTAACAGTAGCAGCAATAATAATAATACTTTCAACATTTGGAATCACAGACAAGTAACCTAACCATGTTTAAAGTGATCGTATTTTAAACATCTTTATTTGGAATTAAATATCTCCCATATTCTGCTCAATTTTCAAACTTTTTTTGCTTTGCTCCTCTTTTGTGAACTTTTCAAACATCTTGCATACAGATTTTTTGTGGACAACTTGATTGAAAGCTATAATAATAATAATTATTATTATTTTACCAAATATTTCACAAACTGCTTTACATTGATGAGAAACTGACTAGTTGCTTTGTCTTATGTTCTTTATAAATTTCTCATACATTTTATCTTCTAAAATTTTGTGCATTCTCAGCATAAAGTTATTTACATGTATTTTATATTTTATAATATTTTATAATATATATATATATTTTTAATAATAAATAAATTGTCATTTCACTCAAATATTGTAACTACTTCTTTACCTATTGGATTCTTGTTGTAAAGGGGAAATTGTTCACCTCATTATCAAGATATTATGTCTATATTTTAAACAATTGAATTCATATATCATATGTTCTGGATAGTTATTTGAGGTTGGCTGATTGAGGAAAGAAAACCGAATAATTTGTAATGATTAAGAGCTCTGATTTTCAGTTAATTGGGGGGAATAATGGATTAATCATTGTGTGAAGTTGGCATTTCAACTACATATTCTGTCATGATATCTTTATCAAGGTGAGAAGAATGGTCTTTCTTTCACAGCATGTCATCAGGATTAGATGTGTGTAACAAATATAGGAAAGTGCTTATGATATCATAAATGTTCCTTAAAATGATCATTGTTACTTTAAGAAACATTTCTATTATTATTATTTTGAACCATTATTTTTAGATCATATACTACTGTCAGATACTTTCTGGACACATGTAATATATGATGTTAGTTCCAGTTGAGCCTGCTTCTACACATGACAAACTATGTACAACAGAATGAAAGTTTGCCCAGTTAGGTATCCTCTCCTTTCTAAACCTCTCAATGTCCCTTAAATGTTGTTTGGTATCCCATTTGTACAGAGCACAGAAGATTTGCCTCAATTGAACAGGTGCTGTTTCTCTAACTAAATGAGCTATCTTTCTTTATTTATTTTGATCTCACACTTGCTGCATTCAACATAGTATGGTGAATTACCAAGAATCTCTGCCTAATGTACTGTTTTGGTATTCAAAGAATGTCTTCATATTTTTATGCAGATAAATTAATTTCAATCTGCTTTAAAATAAATGTCATATATTAGATACATATAGCATTATGTTCAAAACATGCTTAGGCAAGACACATTTTCTTATAGAGGAGTCATAGAACCTGGGCTGAAAAATAATGAGACAGGATATATGGGGCCTATCATCATCACTTAACAGTCATGCACAGTTTACAACCAGCTTTACCTATAATATTTCCTTCATCTGCAAAAAAGAGATGTTAATTTTTATTATTGTGATAAATTTAAATACTATGTTAATTCATTAATTGATTCATTAATCCAACAAATATATACTTAGTGCTTCTAATGCCTAGGAGTGCATTTGAGTAATAAAACAGAAACCAAAGAAAAAAATCAAACTCACTTCCATCAAGTCGATTCCAACTCATAGTGACACCCGTTGGGTTTCTGAGGCTGTAAATCTTTACAGAAGTAGATTGCCCCATCTTCCTTGTGCAGAGTGGCTGTAGGTTTGGATTGCTGACTTTTTGGTTAGGAGCCCACTACCCCAGAGAAGTCCCTAATGTCACAAAACCTGTATTTTATGAAAAGATATACAGACTAAACAGTGAAATATTTGAGGGAATATATTTTTTTTTGTAGATAGTATTAAATGCTTTGAAGAAATTTCAAGTGTGTAGTAGAATAGAGCAGACAAGACATATGTGTTTGTGGGAGGTGAGCATTGTCAGGTAACTGAAAGGGCTTTTCCAACAAAATGCTTTGGATGTAAAGACACATATTTTTACTTTTCCCACCAAATCATTTTCTTTCTTTCCTTGTGTAAAGAAAAGCTAAGCACGCAGGTTTTGAATTGATTACATAAATTAGAGTAACACTTAATTTTCTGTTCCAAATAATAGTTTGGAAATTTTCTTCCCTTATTTTGTTTCCTTACAAATTGTTTTGAGTCAGAGAATGAGCTTAAATCCTAACGCAATTAGGGACTTAACATTAGTTTTGACATAATAATCCAACGCTGACAGAAAAACTAAAAACCTGCTAACAATTATTGATATACATGTATATATGTTTTCTTGGTTACAATTTCATTTTTTAAAATATTTTCTCTCTGTTAAAAACATTCTGTTAGCATAATTGAATACTTTTGTTCCATAAATATTTTCTTGGTTAAGTATAGTTCAAAATAAAAATTTTTACTTTAGTGTGTCATATTTTATAAATCTCTCAAAGAAAATTCTGAAATACATTAAGTATAAAATACAGATGGAAAATCATATGTGTGTTGTTTCTTTTATTTGTATAAAAATTAAAAATTAGAAGTAGAAGGAACAAGATATAGGTGGAATTAGGTATTAGACAAAGAATATTATGTGAAAAATGGAGAGTCACCAAGGAATTCTTTACTGCTGAGATAAGTAATGTGAGGAAGGGGTTTTTATTTTCTTTTTAATCCTACTGAATTAATTATAGATATAATTAATTTTTTACCTAATGAATTATAGTATGCAACAATGATATAATACATATTTAATTAAAACATGGAAATAGTTTACTGGATTATGAATTTTTTGTTGCATTTCTTATTATTAAAAATTGCATGCGAATGACATTTTAGAGAATTATGAAATTCTTCCCCTTAGTCTTATCAATTAGGATACATTACAGAATTGAAATCGAGTGGATTTTAAAGTTTTAATTGGAACAGTTTCTAATGAAAACACAAGCTGTGTTTTGATACAAGGTCATTGTTTTTCTTGTCCTGATTATACATGGTTACATTTAGAGAAAATAACCTATGCTCTGTTGGTTTAAGGATTGAAGAATTGATATTGTACAGGTTCATGTTAAAGGGCAAGGTTGATGAACTAATAATATCCAGTGTGTGCAACTCATGGCTAGAAAAAACTTACAGCCATGGAGTCGGATCTGACTCATAGTGACCCGTCCTTGGGTTTCTGAGGCAGTATCACTATGGAAGTAGATTGTCCAACCTTCCTTCCAAGGAGTGGTTGGTGGGTTTGAACCACCAGCCTTCTGGTCAGCAGTCAAATGCCTTAGGCACTATGCCACCAGAGCTCCTGGCTAGTGAAGAAAATCTACAGTAAATTGAAATCAGTTAATATGTTATTAACATTGTTTTCTAATTTACACGTACAAAATTTTGGTATTTCTATTTTGAATTGATTACATTTTCCTCCATTAAAGTTTCTATTCCTGTAACAAAAATATGCTTGATAGGCAAAATCTAGAAATTAAGAGAAGTTGTATTTACACAAG